GAGAGAGGTCAGATTGTGTTATTCACTTGTAATCTTTTGTAATAGTGAGAAAGTGAATAGTATAGTAATTTTTCCCTAATCTTTCTTCTTCTACTTTCTTTATCCTTTCTTCTTTCTCTCTTTGATATAACTGATTTCATTGTTCACCCAAGAACTCCGCTTCTCAATCTTGATTTGTTGAAAGTAATCGTTTGTGATCACAACACATACAGATTTCATTGCATAATTAAGTATCCTAATAAGTTATTACTCATAAACAATATTTTGCTAATGTTTTGATGTCTTTATAAATTCATAACAAAGTGGCATTCAAGGCATGAATTGGTTAAATTTTTTCTTTTAAACTCTATGATAGATCACTTATAAAAAAAATTGTTTTCAAAAACATTTATAATAGAAGATAAAAAAATTTAACAAATATACAACAGCGAAAAAGTAGGAAGAATAAAGATAGACAACTGAATAAAAATAATCAACAACAAATAAGAGAGAAAAGATAAAGTAGTTACACCATAAATTTATAGATGTTTAGTCTAACTACTTGACTTATTTGTGTCTCAAGAATTTTTTTCTTTAGAGTTTCACTAGACTTAAGCTTTTAAGAGATCAGCTCAAACAACATTCAACAATATTTTGAGCTTTGACACAAAATCAGCCCACAGATCTTCAACAATATGTGGATTTCTTAATGCACCTCATAAGTTTCTTAGCCACCACGCGAAAATACTAAAATTTCCCCCATTTTTCAAAGATGTATCCCTGAACGCATCCATTACACACTCAACGCAAGTCATTATGAGTGACACCCTATAAGATGGGTAATTTTTTATTTCGAAGATGCATCTCTAGAACATTTCAAGATATATATATCAATAATTGATCACTTTAGTAGAAATTCCGGAGGAACATCTCCGAAATAATCTGATAAAAGAAACAACTCCATGATCACATACTCGTTGTTGTCGTTGTTGTTTTTCAACACAAACCCTCACCAAAAATCCTTCCATTCTCAATCAATGTTTCATTTGCAAATCTCCATTCTTGTGGTTCATCACATCATAGAGAGCAAAAAAATATAGAATTTCTAGTAAAGATCCTTTATTTCCCACTTCATTGCTCACATTAATCAAGTTTTTTTTTTTTTTGAAAAAATGAGCGTCGTGTCCGAAGATGTATCTCTGGAGCGAATATGAACTTGTCCAAAGATGCATCTCTGGAACTAGGTTGCGTTCATTTTCCAAGTCCGCTTTCAGCAATGGTACTTATATACTGTTTTATTGTAATTATTTTCATTAGATATGGTGCGCCCCGATATTTCTTCAAAATAAGTTGTTTCTCTGAATGTCCAAGGTGTTGTTGTGAATGTCGTAGATGTTAGTAACCAATTAAAAATGAGCAAGAGTTTGAATGTCGTGATCAAATGCTTCAATGGATTTGCATGGAGACCTATAAACTTGGATTTACTATGGTTATCGGAAGGTCCAATAATGGTTCGAATTGAAGATGCATTTTTGTGACAATGACGTGTGAAAGAAGCGAGAAATATGAAACTCCTCTCCATAATTTTAAAATAGACAACACTGGTTTAAGAAAATATGAGTATCCATTTAAGGTGTGTGGTTACATGTTGGCAAACAAAAACTTGAAATTTAATGTGATATGTGGTTCGCATAACCATAATTTGTGTGAACAATTAATCGGTCATCCTAGTGTGTGTCGGCTCATGCCGAAAGAGAAGGAAAGTGTTGCTGACATGACATTGAATATAGTTCAACTGAAAAATATACTTGCAACATTGAAACGGAAAAGACCTTAAAATATATAAATATCGAGCAAGTGTATAATATTCGGTACCTAACTAACAAGGTGCGTAGGGGGATAGAACTAAAATGCAACAACTCTTAAAATTGTTGGATGATAACATTTACGTGTCTATGTACCGAATGTGTGAGGATGAAGTTATTGTTAGAGATATATTTTGGACTCATCCTGATTCCATAAAATTTTTCAACAAGTTTCTTATTATGCTCATACTTGATTCAACCTACAAGACCAACAAGTATAGACTTCCATTATTGGAGATGGTTTGTGTTACCTCAACTGAGATGACATATACTCAACTAGGAGACATTCATTATGGTTATCGAACAGTTTCGACTTTACTTGGTAAATCAGAAGATAATCATACACTTGTTTGCCATTAACTTATCCAAGAATTGAAGACGCATAAAGAATTATATACACAGTTGTACGAAAAGAAAGAAAAATTCAATGAAGTTTATGAGTCTCTTGTTCCTTTCCTTAGCGGTCTGGCACCGGAGGCAAAATGAATGTGATTTTCTATAATGGATCACCTAATAGGATATGCGTATGATAGAGTGTGTGTTGGTCTTACACAATATGGTTTTTTAAAAACATTTTCTCTACTGCGCACCGCCTCACCTCAAAATCCAAATGTATTGTGTGTATTGGAAGGCTTTCAAAATTAAGTCATTTTGTTCAAGTTTACTTGAAACAAGAATGCCCTATACCACTTACATTCGGAGTGGACGACTCATTCAATAACAAAAGATGAGACTTGGCCGAATTATTTTATGGAAAGGATGCAAGAGTTCGAGAAATTGAACAACATTGAAAAAGAATCAAATGCACAAAATTCCAAGGGGTACCACCCATAGATTTAGTCGGCGATAAACGTTCTGATTTGTTTTAATTTCTTATTTAGTTGGACATATAAGTGTATCTAATTGTGTCTCAATATAAATGAAGTATAATATATTCAACATTTGTTTATAATGTGTATTATTGCATTTTTTTTATCTTTCACATAACAACATTTGTTCTTTTTGTATAAAAAAAGTTCTTTTTTGGAACCGGTTCAAGAGAAATTTCGGAGATGCATCTTTAAAACAAGAATATAAGGTGCAAAATCGGAGATATATCTCTGAAATCAGCATGATAGTTATTGAGTGGTCCATATTGATCTATGACTTCTATAAATTAAGGTGCTTATATGTTGTATTTTACACAAACTAAAAATGTCTCAAATGTCACAAATAAACATCAACTGGTATGTCGCAAATGTCTCCTTCTCCAGCTCTATATCCGGGAAAATGTTTAAGCTCACTGATTTCACCTCCCTCGAAGATATCAAAGATGAAATCCACCATCTCCCTCGAAGGATTATGAAGTTCAGGTAGCGTTCATCGTCGATTGACAATGGATGAAAGATTAAATTAAGTAAATTTGAATTCAAGACGCAATCAGATGTAAGGGCTATGTGGAATATGTATTTCCATTTCAAAACAAAACTTTTGCTCGAGTTGGAATTTATGCTTTCAAGATCGGCCAAAGATGTTGAAGTGTCCACCTGGATATTGAAGTACTGTTGTATTTTATGTTGAAATGATTTATGTAATCCTGATTTTATTTTATGAATCTTAATTTCATTTTGAAAAATTACATGTTTTTTGCTTTATTAATGATGTGTATGTGTTACGAAAATGTAACTACGAAAACCTTTGAGAGATACATCTTCTGAATAAAATAAATCAAATAATAGGGCGTAAATAATGGCTTTTGTTGTGAGTGTTAAAACATATTTTCAAGTTTAACTTGCAATCTTTAAATCCTTTATAAAATATATTACACAAAAGAATTACATGTAGAGGTATTCATTGGTTCAGGTAAATCTGAAGCAAATCAGAATCCAAACCAAATCATTATATTTGGGTAGGACATTTTTTAGTTCGGGAAAAAGTCGAACCAAATCAATGAAACCCAGTGTTAATTGGTACGACTAGCAGATTTTTAAAATTTCTACCCGCGAGCCCAACTACTCGAACCAACCATATAATATTTATCACCATTATCATGAAAACTAGTATAAGATATTCAATTTCAAAAAAAAAAATGAAACACTATATTTGCGACATTCACAACCTAAACAAAAAATAAATAAAAAATTTTAAATTATTATAAAAAATTAATTGAGGTAAAATAGATATTTTTGAAAAATATTCTTGTACATTTATTTCTAACGTATCCAATCAATCCAATTCAAACCAACCTGTTATTTTTTAATTTGGTTCGATTTGAATTTTATCAAAATGATTGCCAAATCCAATCCAAATCAATCAATTTATTTTTATCGGATTGAATATTGAGAACCAGCCCGCAAACATCCCTAATCCCACAACACTAATAAAACACTAATATAATACACAATAATCACACGCAACACCAATACAACATCTCTTAAAAGGGTTTTTCAGCCTTTCTACCCTACAACCGTACTCATGAAAACTCTTATCTTTTTATTAGTAACAAGACTCGTCTCATCAGAAGCAAACACGTCAAAAATTGTTACTTTAACTTATTGGTCTTGGAAGCTGATCTTGGTTGGTCACACATTTTCAACCCGCAAACATATATATTGCATCAAAATGTCACGTGTTTACATCTCAGGGCAATTATTGCATAAACTCTCTTATCACGGTGTCTAGAGATCGAAAATAAGTCTAAAAATTTAGGTTTTCAAGGACATCTTATTCCCAACACAATTCCACCCTGGGAATAGACTGTCAAAACTTTGGTAAGACAAGATATTAATGTTATCATAATAGCAGTAATTTTTAGTAGAATAAGAAATAGAGCCTAGAGCTCTAGGATGAAGCCCGCGCTAGACATAAATGGCCACTTATATTTATATATTATAGCAGAAATCACAGATGTCTCAACCAAGGCCACTTAAGTCACAGATGTCTCAACCAAGGCCATTTAAATATTATAGCAGAAGTCACAAATGTCTCAACCAAGGCCACTTATATATTAGAGCAAAAGTACCAAATGTCTCAACCAAAAGATGTTTAAACATTTAAAATAGCATACATGTTCAAATTCACGTCTTCAGTTTTAAAAAATAAATTCTAATATAGTGCATTTCATAAACAAAGCATATAAATATTCCTTCCTGAGCTCATTTATAAAGAAAACACTTCTTAAGGTGATGGAGAGCGATGAGTGGTGTCATCGTCATCCTCTATGGGGCTCCTATCCTCATCCCTGGGACTGCGGCTGCGGCTAGGGCTTCTGCTGCGGCTTCTGCTACGGCTTCTGCCATTAGCCTTAGGGCTGTCATCATTGTCCTTTGAGGGGCTTCTGCTCTTCACTCTAGGACCGTCACTATAATCAGACCCATCTTGGGCTGTGACCACCTTATCATTACCAGGAGATGCACTTCTTTGAGGACTACCTTCAGGAGATCTACTATACTTCCTTGACTTGGAAGGTGGGGGGCTCCGAGATCTATCATCAGGAACTGGGCTTCGATCTCTTCTGACAGGAGATCGAGATCTGACAGGAGATCTTGATCGGCTGGAAAGAACAAGAGCAACCAGAGTTTAGCTTTAAAATAAAGAACAAAAATTACTAATTTACTAATATAACAGCAAACAATTTAAACCATTTAATAGCGTTTAACTACTGACCTATAACTGCGGGCTGGGCTATAGCTTCTATCCCGGCTTCTGCCACGCCTAGGAGAGCGTGACCTTCCAGGAGAGCGTGAAACACTCCGTGCATGTCTGCTGCTAGAACAAGTCAGAATGAAATCATCAGTTGAAAGCTATAAACACTTTTGGAAAGCAATGTCACAAAAAGAATCAATTATAACAATGCAGCAACAGGTTGGAAACTAACACTATGAATCAATTATAACAATGCAGCAACAGTTTGGAAACTCAACACCATTAACCAATTATAACAATGCAGCAACAGCTTGGAAACTCAACACCATAGCATACCTCAACTTTTTGGGACTGTTCTTGCAGTTCTTCTCTATATGACCTCTCTCCCCACAGCGATAACATTTGTTCTTCCAATCCCCAGCTTTGCAATCTCTAGCCCAGTGGCCATCAATGCCACAGTTAAAGCAGCGTCCAGATCCAGGAGGTGGACCTCTACCAAGATATTCTCGGGAATCCCGAGAATCACGAGAACCACGAGGAACCTGAATAATTAGAAGCCCAAAGACAAATATCAGTAACATCAGAAATGAAAGGGAACAAGAGCAATTGATTTTCCAAGTAGGATTTGACCAAACAGTAAAAGTAAAGCATAAATGCAAGTAACAGAAAAATAAACACAACAGACCGATAAAGCCAGTAAACTGATTGAAAGTTACAAAACTATAAACATAAATGACTATACAGCTTCAAGGGATGCTTCCAAGTTCCAATTAGGAGTTTAGGAGTTTACCACCAGATCAAAATTGATATATTGAAATTGAGAGAAAGAATAGAAGTTACAACATGCCAAAAAGTGAGAACAGTGAACTCAGGGGGCACTAAGGTGAAAGTATGCCTGATATATGGGAGTATCAAACACACACACACAATCCTCCCTTTCCAATTGCCAATATAGCCAAATGGAAATAACAGCAAATACATACATCAAACAGGCACTTTCAAATGAAACATCTAAAAAGTATCAGATTACACAGAAACATACATACCAAAGGAAACATCAGTCAAAAGATAATAATAATAATAATAAAGAGATAAATTTAAAATAATAAAAAACAAATCTAAAAAGCGTTGATTGAACGGAAGTACTTCATACCCCTTTGGCAAACTCCACAATAAGACGACTTCCATCAACATCACGCCCATCCAAGTTGTACCTTGCATCATCCGCATCTCGAGGATCACTAAATTCCTGCTCAAAAATATGTAAGGAACAAGCAAAGAAAATAACACAATCTTACCACAATCTATAATTGAACACCTTCGGGTAGAAACTAGGAGCCACCTTTGAGCAGAGCAATGAACAGAAATCAAAGTGAAAAGAAAAAGTAAAAAGATACAGGGATAGTGAAAACTTACAACAAAGGCGTAATCATGCTTCATATCCACATCTCGAACTCTGCGGAAATGGTTTCCATAAACAGTAAGGCCATCATTACTTAACTACTGGAACTGTATGATACTTCGCCCCTCAAAGACGAACTAAACACCAGTTTGAGATTGTTGCCAATTCCATAAAAACACGCAATAACATTACAGAAAGAATCGCCAAAGTCAACACTCAGGTAGGAATTACCACCAAGGCCACCCTCCCACCTTAGACCTCCGGGTTTAGCCAAAACCCAAAAAACCTTCAACAAGATCATTTAAGTTAAAAATGACACCTATGGGATACGGTTCCCACGCATAACATGAGGAATAACCAACATAAATCCAAATCCAAGCGCAAAACAAAGCTTGGAAAGAACCTGTATATTATCCCCTAAAGTTCGGTATAACACAAGGATGACACTCCAAGCCAACTTATCACTAATCTAGCTCCCTCCGCAAATCAACAAAGGAAAATGAATCAAGGAAACATGATAGTCATTTTCCTTTCATAATTCAACCGACAACAAGAATTTTTTTTGCAGGGTCTCATCTAATAAACTAAAAATTAGATACCCATACAAACAGACACACGGACAAACACAGTGCATGATAGAACAAAACAAACATGTTACATAAAACCATTTTTCCCAAAATAACACTAAAAACCCCTAAATTGGATACAGATTAGCATCAAAAAAAAGGAATTTACCTCCCATAACGGCTGAAGACTCTTTCCAGATCCCGAGAACGAGTTCGCGAAGACAGACGACCCACATAGAGGCGAGTATTGCCATACTTATCATCGTAGCGAGGCATTGTCGAATTCTTCAAGCTGTGTGAAATAAAAAACTGAATTTTGCATAATTATCAGCAGAATCAACTCAAACACAGAAAAAATAAAATCTCTACGGTAAATAACACAACAATTAACAACAAAGATATACAAATACACAATTAATACACCTGCTGGAACAAATTATCTGCATGCGTCGATAATTTCTAGATCTAATTGATATCGGGCAAGCAATTTTAAATCAAGAATCGGAGATATTCAAAAACCAAACTTCGAATTACGATCACAGGATCCGATGGAAAGCACAGATTACAAGGGTAAAGGGAAAATCGAATCGGAATGAATGGGAACGAGAGAAGAGAAAGTATATGTACCTTGTAGTCGATTGCCGTAAACCTAACCCTTTGAAAGTGGATCTGTTTCTGGTCGTGGTTTCAGTATTTATATTAAAATCTCGCATGTATGGATTTGTTTTCCTTTGAAAAAGTGAATTGGGCCTATGGGCTTTTGATGGATACGGGCCAATTTTAAATAATAGTAAAAGATCAAATGAAAGAATTTATAATTAATAATGGAATATCACTGTTGAAATTGGGTTTGGGATGTATTTCATTCACATTCATTGACGATAACAAGGCACAACCTTGTCGGAGTAGCACCGAACCCAACTTACAATCGTAAAAAGGTAAATCGAACATAAAAACATAGCCAAAAGTGGTCTCACATTTGTCTGATTTGTGACTCATAACACATTCCTTCATCCCAATGTTATTGAATTTGATGTTGGATATATATAGTAAATGATTTGATAGCGGAAACCTAATAGCAGGTAAGACCGTATTCAAATTTTAGTTGAGTCTAACTCAAATTTACAAAAGCGGCTAGTAAAATTATGAGAACATTTTATCATATACCCCCTAAAATTATCTCCTTACCCTTACATTTTACCTATTTTGACTAAAGTGCCCTTGTATTAATTATTTATTTGTTTTATCTTTTCACTTTTTTCCTTTTTCATTTTTCAAGAGCTCCAAATTAGAGAAAAAAAGTTTTGTACCAAAAATCATCCACAAGTTTTTTAGTCCACAATCTTCAAACCGAAAATCATTTCATAAGTGTTTCAGTTTTTGAAAGACACTGGAGCTCTTTGAGAAATTTATTTGATTTATTGAAACATATCGGAAATCATTTTTAAAGTCATCTGGTTCATTAAAAAACAACATCGCATATCTTTCTCCAAGTATTTCGAGTGAGTTTTTTTGCTACCGGCAATCTATAAGAAAGATATCTAGTTTGCTTCTTCTTTTTTTAATTCTTGATGTTTGTTTTTTCTAGTTACGTGAACCCAAGGATGTGACGGTCAGGTCCCAATACGTATTGGTGTAAGAGGGGGCACTCGAGTACAGATGGCAGACGAGAATGACCATATGGGTGGATTTGCATTTGCTCCACAACCAGTAGAGTTTTTATGAGGGTCGTACGATACGTCTCTTTTAGTAAAGTATGAGTATCACGTTGCTCGCCATATATGGTTTGCCAAGGTAAGTCAATGGTAATCATTTTATGTTGAATAATATATATATATATATATATATATATATATATATATATATATATATATATATATATATATATATATATATATATATATATATATATATATATATATATATATATATATATGTATATATATATATATATATATGTATATATATATATATATGTATATATATATATATATATATATATATATATATATATATATATATATATATATATATATATATATATATATATATATTGTTCTGACCTGGGCCCAACCCAATAACGCACAAGGCCCAATGAGTGGAGTAGCCTGGCGGGGCACACGCCCCCCACCGGACGGGCAGGACACGCTCCCTGCCAAGCAGGACGGCGCACTTCTGAGCGTCCTCGGCGCTCCCCATAGCCGGACAGAACAGCCTCCACGGGCAGAATCCCCCCTGCCAACGGGCAGGACGATATGTCTCCCCCGCTCTCGTGTGCCCCCCCCCCCCCCCCACGGGGAGAACCACGCACCGTCGGGGAACATCCTGAGCTCCCCTCCACGGGGAGAACAACGTGTTCTCAAGGAATCCCACGAGTTTCCCTCCGCAGGGAGAACAACGTGCTCGACGCACGTTCTCCACGTGCTCCCCATCGCGGGGACACGTCATCCCCCAACTACCCACCTCCGAAAGAGCAGGTCAAACCCACTTTCCGGAGACCACGGGACAGTTGGACTAGGGCGAAGACCACGTCCCGGTCTTCATTACGCCATGTAAGCCCTAGCAGTCACCTGGGTTGGGCCTGACCATCTAGCCCAACACAAGTGACCGTTGGCCCAGCGCTGGGGTCTCTCTATAAATACCCTCTTCCTCAAGAGGGTCAGGTAATTCACTTCTTACCCATTTTTCTGACTTTGCTCTCACTCTGCCCAACTCCTTACTTTGGCATCAGAGTGTTTTGCAGGTACACCCCCATTTCCTCCTCATCACCGGTGAACAGGTAGCAGTCCAACAGCGTGTGGTCAGCCCGTGATCCCCTTCTGATCAGGTCAAATCATATATATATATATATATATATATATATATATATATATATATATATATATATATATATATATATATATATATATATATATATATATATATATATATATATATATATATATATATATATATATATATATATATATATATATATATATATATATATATATATATATATATATATATATATATATATATATATATATATATATATATATATATATATATATATATATATATATATATATATATATATATATATATATATATATATATATATATATATATATATATATATATATATATATATATATATATATATATATACTTTAAATTATTTTTAGGAGAGAGGTCTGAAGAAAGAACTAAAGGTTGTTAAACATGGAAGAAAGCTTACATTAAAGGTTCCTCGTTATCTCTCATTTGAGATGCAAAAGTCGATGGATGAATATGGTTTATCATCACTCCAGAGAAGCAGTTTGACGAGGATAAACCAAAAATTGGTATCAGCATTTGCAGATAGATGGCATCCAGAGACATCGTCATTTGATGAGATGAGCATTACATTGGATAATGTTTCTTGTTTGTTTCACTTGCCTAACAAAGGCTTGTTCTAGACCTTTCGAGATGTCACGGAAGAAGATGTTGTTATTGGTAGGGATGACAATGGGCAGGGTTCGAGCAGAGTACTATAGTTCCCATCCCAATACCTGCGATTTAAAATAATCCTCGTACCCAAATCCATACCCGCTTGGGCGTCAAAGTTAGCACCCGTATTTGTGCTCTATGGGTATGTAAATACTCATACCGTACCTGTTACCCACGTTCCTATTAAAAATAAATAGATCAATTATAAAATATCATATCATTTTAAGTTTTTAAAAACATTAAAAAAGTTGTCAAAAAAATTTATTGTTGAAATAAACGAACACTTATATTAAATATGTAATGGTTTAACCGTGATAAAAAATTTAAAATTGATAGACAAACATTTTTATATAATAATATAAACTAAAATATATAAATATAAATTAAAAATACATACATACATACATATATAAATATATAAATATAAATTAAAAATACACACACACACACATCCCCGCACCCATGCCTGCTTATTTTTGTGGATAATTACCCGAACCTCGTGCCCGTACTCATTTTTGTGGGTTTTTACCCAACCCATTATGGGTAATTTTGCGGGTCCCCATTCAAGATGGGTCAAATTGTCATCCTTAATTGTTGGACTTGAGACTTCACACACGATAGGGGTTGAATTGTATGGTTTGGTAAAACTTGGTTTTGAGAACTTTTGGTAAATCAAGTAAGAGTTTAAAAACATTTTCAAAAACTAAGCAACAGAAAGTAAATTGCAGAAATTAAATAGTTAAGGGAAGAAGAAGAACATCGGAAATTATAGTGGTTCGATCAAATCAAAAGGACATACTTCTCTACCTGAGAATTGATCTTGAGAGTTTCCAATAATAGTTGAGAGTTTTTAGTATGAAAGACTCACGATCCCCCTTATACAAGGAAATGATGATTGATCTTCAACCAAATATTACAAGAATATAGATATGGGCATTTGAGTATTTTCTTTAATATACTGCTGAGAGTGAAGTGGCCAATCTCCTTTCCACAAATAAGGAACTTGGAGCGGTTAGTCTTCATGTGAGATATTTGATCGAACTTTAGTCAGCATAATGTCAAAGTTTATTCACATGTTGTTGTCGAAGACCTACATGTTGTAGTCGAATTATGTCCTAGTATGTAGTTGTCGAACTTGGCCTTGTGTTAAGGATCCAATTGTTTGAGTTAGCTTGTAATGGGTAATTATTAAAAAGCTCATTAGTTTAGTATGTTAGGTTTTATCATAAATAGCATACTAGTTCATCGTCTTAAGTGTGGTGTGACAAAACCTAATTAGGGTGAGAGGGTTATTTGTTATTCTTGAGTACTTGTGATCTATTTTATAGAGAAAGTAAAGAATAACAGTTATAATCAATCCTTATTGTTCTTCTTGTTTTTTGTTAACCCTAACCCTTGTGTGTTTCTTGATCATAAAGAAACCGAATATATTTTGTTTTAAGGAATCCTAATTCACAACACTTCAAGTTCCAAAAGATCTAAGCTCAATACATTTGGTTTTACCAAGACAAACCAAACAACCTACGAGATTTTAACTGGGCTAATCTCTAACCTATGAAGATTTGAATGTCAAGCTAATCTTCAACCTATCTTGGTTTTAATCAGGCTAACCAAGAATCAATGAAAATATTAACAATATCTAATCTTCAACCAAAACATAGGATTGATCACATAATCCCTATCCTAAGTGTTTACCGAGTTTAGCTTTGAACCATATATATATATATATATATATATATATATATATATATATATATATATATATATATATATATATATATATATATATATATATATATATATAT